AAGCACCATTCAGCTACCACTTCCAACCCTAATGGCACCACTTGAATGAACACTGACCCTGGCTTGAGAAACAAAAAGTGTGTCAATGCCGCACCGTGGATTCCAACCATTGCATGACTTGAACTAATGAGTGCAAATGCTTTGTCTAATGGAGTTGAAGGTTTTGGCTCAAACATAACAACATCAAAACCAACTTTTTCCATCTCCAATTTTACTTCTTCCAAGTTCAACAACAATCGTCCATCCCCACTTAATCGATTGACCAACACTAGACGTGGTCGTGCATTTTGAGGAGGGAAATTAAATGGAACATTATTTGCATGATCATAAACTTTGCTTAAAAATGCATGAAAATGATGAAGTGACTTTGAGTTAGAAATTAATTCGGGTTTTATGGTCATAAATCCATGTGACACTAGACCAAGAGTGGCAGAAGGAAAGCAGTGGGTGGCGGTATCATTATCAAGGTCAACGATAGGGTGCTTGCTAAATTGACCTAGTAAGTTTGCATATTTACTAACCCACCAATCACGTGCTTTAGAAATCACAAGCACCACGTCTCGATCATCAAGACGGTGGAACAAAGAGTTGAGGGTGATAAAGAGAGGGATAAACCCATCATTGAATTCATGGAAGAAGTTTCCCGTGTACCCTCCCGCACTGAATACCAAGGCCGGGGATTCATGCATGACGTGGCAAGATGGAATTGGTGCGCCTGTGGTTATGGTCAACTCCTTTATCCTTGACATTACAACACCCTCGAATTTTCGAGGATAAGGACGAATTTTTATGGCCGTTGGATTTGGATCAACGGTGGTGCGATGTTGGATGAAGAAAGTGGAATGGTCGGGTCCAACACTGTTGCCACGTGGATGGTGCAAATGTCATAATGATAATGGGAACGGTCACAGCTGATTTGTCTTTTTGCGGGACTTGAGTCTTGCTTACTTGCATCCGATTCTAATTGAATTACTTCTAGCTGCTTTGTTTCTTGTACTGCCCACACCTCAAATTGAAAAAGAGATATTAAACTTATACAATTTATGTAAAAGAAAGAGAAAAATGAAAAAGTGTGCTGTAAAATTTTATCTAATAGTGTGAATTTAGAGTAATAATAAAAAATTAATATACTATTAGCATAAATATTATGAATTTATAGTAATATTGTGACACTATATTAACAAATAATCTTATTAGTATAAAATATTAATACATACTATTAATAGATCAAATATCAATACAGTATATCATATTATTAAGAAATTTTTAATATTTATACTACTGATTTTATTTTTGTTAAATAGAATTTGTAATAAAAAATAATTTTAATAAACTTGAAATTATTAAAGTAGAAATAAGTATCATTTATTGTCACTCTAATACTAATAAATTGTTGAAGCGAGAAATAAATGATGCATAAATAAGGTGACGCAATGAAAGTTACAGAATGGGGACTTTTTAAGAAGCATCTAAAAATTTTGTGGGAACCATTAATATACATGCAAATCCTAATTCTTTTTGTAAAGTTTAATTATGAAATATGAGTTAAATAAAATTAATCTGAGTTAATGTCCACGACGCTTGCACAACAAATCCTAATAATTTCTCTAAAATTTATCCTTGTTATGAACAATGAGGCTCTTTGAAAACTCAATGAGCTTTGTGGCATTGTTGGCCTAATGAGAAGTTGCAACGCACCTGGACTATTAGCTTTCTTGGTTGCATGTGTAAGCTTTGACATCACAGTCGACAAATACTTGATCTGAAACGCCAGAACAAGCACGAACAGAATCACGCATGTTGTTGTGGTTCTCCAATTTTTCTTCCTCGTTTTCATGTTCGTTGATCCAATTCTAGCTTCAACCTTCTTTCTGATGATGGGTAGTCGTAGAATATATGAACTGTGTCAGAACATAGAAGAATCTTGAGCATCGATCATATATATGAAGGTTTAAAGATGGGTGTATCATGTATGGGTAATTAGAAAGAGACACGGCACCTTATATTTCAACTTTATTTCTGATATCAAATTCTTCAAAGGCTTTGATTTGGTTTGCTCAGTTCTCTGGTTTTTGGCTTCAAGTTTCAACCTCGAACTTTTATAAACAGCACTTAAGGAAACGTCTACATGGGGAATCCACTTTTTGTTTTTCTTTTATCTCTCTGGTTAAGTAATAATAATAATGTTTAGTAAAATAAACTGACAAGGAAGAAAATGTTGTCATTTTTAGAAAATTTCGATACAAGTTTTAATTGCAGATTTTAAATTACTAAAAATAATAAAATTTGAATTACAAATATTTATTATATTTTTATAAAATAAAATTTGTATAATATTAATTTGTTAACATAAGTGTCAAACTTTAACTCTTACATTATTTAATATTTTTTAAACAAAATATAAGATTGATTAATTTAATTGATGAACTTTTTTTTATATTATATTTATGATTATATGTATTAAATTTTATATAATTTGAATATTTATGAATATTTAAAAATATATTAATAAAATAATATGATGAAATATTTTTTTAATTTTAATATAAAATTAACATCATTTATAAAAAATTATTAAATAATAGTAAGCGTTAAAATTTTAATATCTAATACTAAAAATCCTTATTATTAATATTTATAAAAAAAATTACATCAAATGTTCATTAAAAATTGTGATGACAATACACTAATAATGTTTTGAACGAAAAGTTGGTTAGTAAGACTCATAAAATTCATGATTTTTGCGTTTAAAATTAGTTCGAAAAATTAATATAACTATCTTTAAAAAATATTTGCAGATTCAACCACTCAATTCATATTGATAAAGAATGATCACTAAATTAATGCAATTGTAACATTTCTATCAGAATACCAAGAATCTCTAAACGAAACCAACCTTTTAGTCAAATTGATGGACAACTATCTCATAGTGAATAAATATCATTTGTTAAACATAAAATTAATTTTTTTTTATACTTTGAATTGGATTATGAAGAGGGAATTTATTATGCCCTACTAAAAAATTATTTAATTTTAACTTTGTGTATTTAATAGGGAGATCAAGAGTGATGATATTTTTAAGTATTTACTATAGTTATATTTACTAAAACTTAATTTTAAAATCACAAACATGCTTGAACACTAATGATTTTGAACGTATTTGGAATATGTAAAATAAGAATCCAAGTAACTTAAATTATTAAAGATGCCAAATTCAATATTTCCTATTGTCTCACACATTTTTATTTACTTTATATATCAACAATATATACTTAAAAATATGTAAAATAAAATAAAAACTCAATTTTTAAACTTTATAAACATGTGAAGGGAGTTTTAAATATTCTTTGAGAGAATAAAATCTTTTGACATTTAGATATTCAATATTGGGCAGGTGTTGTTTAACACGGTAGTCAAGCTGTTGTTTAACACGGTAGTCAATGATCTAATATTTAATAATTTTTTGAGATTTTGGTGTGAATAAGATAAGTGATATCCACACTTTACGTATTACCTAATGCGGATGTTATATTACATATTACTATATAATATAATGGGGCACTCTCTATCTCAAAAAAATAATGTCTTTTTTTTGGTAATGATTGTTTGTTCACGTAATATTTTTGGAAATGATTGTTTGTTCACGTAATGGGCCTGGACTGGACTAAACGTTGCGTCTAATATTTATTAATTTTTTAAGATTTTGGTGTGAATGCGATAGGTGATATCCACACTTTTGTCATTATATAAAGTCAGTTTGTGTTGTTCACATTGTTATGTATTACCTAATGGGGATGTTATGTTACAATATAATGGGCCTGGACCGGACTGGACTAACGTTATATCTTTATTTTAAGAAAAGAAGGGTTAGAGGCCCAGAGCTATAATTTTTCAGCTATCTAAAATCCTAGCCCAGCTTCCTTCTTGCATGGGTTGAGGCTAGCCCACATACAAAATAAAGTGTTAAATTAGGCCCAAAGGATTGTATGTAAATGGTGAAATGGCTTATGGTCACATAATAAAGAACGTTCATGCCAACACCCAACCTTCGAATGAACAAATTGGTAATGCATGGTTATGCAGACACAGACATAGTACGGTTTTATCCTTCACATTAATTATTATTCTTTTTAATTATCTATGTTAGCACACTTTATCAATCTCTCTCTCTTTTTGAATCATTTTGTAATTACTTAGTTGGACCCTATTATTGATCATGCAACTTGAATAATTAAGATAAGAAAACAGTTTAATTTCTTGAATTGTTAACATACTTTATCAACGTCTCTCTCTTTTTAAAACTGTTTAATTTCAATTAGATACTATTTCTTTTGTTAATTGATATATACTGAATGAAGTATCAAAAGCAAGAGAGAAATGTGTTTTTTTAATATTTTCATAGGATTTATTTTTTAGTGTATTTTTATAGGATGCATGTATGCATAAAAAAATAATATGAAGATTTACACATAATAATAAACATGTCTTTATAAATAGGGATGAAAGAGAAAAACAAAAGCGTCCAGTCAATATAATAAAATTCACTCGCATGCTAAATATATATATATATATATATATATATATATTTACTGTAATATTTTCACTTTAAGATAAAAAAAAATCAATTCCGTACTTTTTGTGAGAAATTATTTTTGCAAATAAAAACATTAAATACTTATTAAATATATTAAAACTATTTTCTTTTTGCAGTTTATAATAAAAATATTTATTATTTGATTAGTAATTAGTAATATAAAACTATTATCAGTTAACAAGATCGTTTCACAGATAATTGAGTTTAAACGGCAATCAATTTAAATTGTATTAAGATAAGCATGAAGGTTTTAATTTGTGGGTGATGATTAAGGCTATCCATTTGACACAGCTGGCATGGGAAGTGGTGTGTGGAGGCACAATTGGGTCCAAAAATCCTACAAGTTCGGCCCACTGAGTTGCATCCCAATTACTAAAATTCCCAATATTCACAAACACAAAATCTTTCCCTTCCCCAAACTCCTCTCATTATAAGCTTCTCCCAAAGTACACTCTCCACACACACACACACACACACACACACACACACACACACAGAGCGCGCGCCGTATTTCCCACACCAAAACCCCACGCGCTCCCTCATTCTCTTTCACCGCCACCAAATAACCCTTCACCTCCCTCTCTCCGCCGCCGCCGCATCCTGCGGCGTTACCGTACCAACTCCGATTTAATTACAAAGAAGAGTACTAGGAGGTGCTTCGTTGCAAATGGCGGCCACCGCAACCCTCGACGTCGCCGACGGTCCAGTCATGAGCCTTATCAACAAGCGCCTCCGCGCCCTCCGCAAGAAACTGAACCGCATATTGGCCATGGAAGAGTCCGTTTCTCAGGGCAAGCTACTCAACAAGGAGCAAGAGGAAGTTCTCCGCTCCAAGCCCTCCGTTCTCGCACTCATCGACGAGTTCGAGAAGCTTCGCCAGCCTCTTTCATCGGCTCTCGCTGAAGAGCTCGACAGCGCACTACAAAGCCGGCGCGAAACCCTAGCCGAAAACTCCGGCTCCACTGAGCAGCCGAACTCAAACGACGTGGTCGTGGAGGACCTTCTTAATTTGATTTACTTTGGCTCGCTCTTCGACGTGAAGAGCGACTTCGCCTCAACGATGCTCACCAGGACGCACGAGCGGGGATGCTGCTTGACCTATGATTATGTTACGGACGACGCCACCGATCTGCTCGGCGAGAAGGACTTGGATTCGATCTCCACGTTGCGCGGCTTGTTGATTTCGCGGCCGGCCGATTCGAGCTTCTCGCACAAGAACGCGCTGCAGCGGTGCGTTGAGCACGCGAAGCTGTGGCTTGCTAAGTCTGAACGACCTATTGAGCCCAATGCTGATGTTACTTGTATGGTTTTGTTTTGGAAACTACGGTTGATTTTAGATTGCTATGTGTGTTTTGTGTTTGTTGTTAGGCTGCTATTGAGCTTGTTTCTTTTTGTAGATGCTGCCTTGAGAGAGAAGTTGAATAAGATTATGTCTTCGGATTACTTCACCACCACTCCTGAGATGAAAGCTCCGGTTGAAGTTGCTGCGGCTGCTGCTAGCGGAAATTACGTGCCCTTCCATGTGCCCGTGCATGGCTCTGTGGTTCCGGTTGAAGTGGAACGAACAGTTTTTCAGGCTCAGGAGAAGGTAAAATGCTTGCAGGATTGGTTGTTTTTGGAGTTTTATAATTTGGATGTTATTTATTGGGTTAGATGTTGCATGTCATTGGTTGTTTGTCAATTGAGTTGAGTTAAATTCATGGTGTGGATGCTGTAGTAAGTCTTTTAGTAAAATTTTTGTACTGCTTTGTGAGTGAGGGTACACTAGCTATCAACATTGCTTCATTTGGTTGGGTAAAGTGTTGTATGAAAGTGATAGAACTTTTATGATCTCATACAAGAGGGGAGGGATGGGAGAACGGTCTTTGCTGTTTTATTTCTTGTAATTTTTCTGCTGTATACATAAAGATTATGGTGAAATTAAGTAGGACCTCTTTGTTGACCTGAGCTTTGAAGAAAAACAATGAATTTCTTCTCTAAAGTTGCTGTATGTATCAGATTTGGAATGCAATCATTAATGTATGTAGATAAATAAGCATGGGTAACCCTGTTATACTTTGTTTGTTGTGCTACCCGTAAGAATGTAGTATTGATGAGGTTATCCTTAAGAATAAACTGTTTAGTTTTACACATGCTTGTGCTAGAATGGAAGTTGGTAATGGTAAAATACTAATGATTCAGATAAATCTGAAATGCTGCTGTAGGGGATCTGATGATTCTGATATATACTATACTCTGTGCTTAAGCTATTGAGGGATAGCAAGACCTAAAGATCATAGGTTTTTTTTTCCATGAATCAGAAGATATTAGAGAGGCAGACTTGCATAATTTTTTTGTTTTTTTTTTTGTGAAGGAGACAATTCTTTTCCCCAGAACTTTAAAGGAGACTCTTTTTAGTTGCTAAAGTACTTTGTCCATATGCATGTCTAGTTATTATTATGAATAAATCAATTCCTTTGTATTTTGTTCTAAACAATAAATTTTCAAACCTTATCCAAATTTAATAATTTATTTAGGACCACTCCCATTGTTTAAGAATGCATAAGTAGAGGTTCTAACCTCTTGTACCTGTTACAGATGGTACTATTTCATAATATTTTTAAATGTTTTTGTAATTTTTCTCCAATATGCATGGAACAACAACGATGGAGTGAACAAAAGAGTTTTTTTGATTATGTTGTTTATTTTTGCCTTGAGGATGAATGGTGGAGTGGAGACCATATTTAAGACATGCTTTGAGAAGTTAAATCTTTTACTTATGTAAGCTGGGCCTTTGATTATAATCCATGTATGCAGGTTGTGTTGGCATATTTTTATTTTGATAATTTCAGTAGGAACGAATGTGATACAATTAATGGGAATTGGTAGTGCCTTGATAACTCCTGTCAATGTCTTATAATATTTTTTGCCATAGTTAAACACTGTACAATGTGGGCTGATTTTTTTTTTTCCAGTCAGTCATATTTATTTCTATTGATTTTAGTGTCTTAGGTTCCAGTTATAAACTGATGTTGCACATTCCCATTCTAAGTGATAAACTAGTATTGATATGGTTAAATTTTCTGTTTCTGATGAGTTAATGATATAATATTAGTGGCACTGAACTGTCTTTGTAAGTCTGGCATTCTCAAATAGCAGGTGGAGTGCTGACTAGGTTTTTCCAAAATGATGATAGAGGGATAAAGAGGGAATCAAACTATTGATTGTGCACCATGTTTTATATACCCTGCTCCACATAGCTGGCTAAGAACTGAATGACTAAAATAAGCAAAGATACAAGTCCTAACTAGTGCACCCCAAAATTTTGCATACCACTTTGTTGGGCAGTTTGAAATTTGAATGCTGATCAAGGGGTATTAGTGCCGTTCTAAATTTGGTGTATGTTCATAACTTTCATAGATGCACAATCACACATCCCTATTACAACATTGATTGATCTATGTTGTTGACGTGTATACATGGAAAACATTCTGAAAGCAGAATTGGTTGGTAAGTCCAATGTTCCATGTTTGTGGTATGGTTTTGTACGTATGTGACTTCTCTAAGTATGTGGAATAGAAGGGTATACCTATTTGGTTCATTTTTTGGGAATGAAATTTGCTTAGTATTGGATCACTAACAGTTAACATAAATAATGGGCCTAAAAATGTTTATGTTGTGGGGGAAACAGATGTATATAAATTTGTGGGGGCAATACAAATACAAATATATACATAATACATATAAAGGAAAAAATAATTGCAGTGGCAATTGCCCCAAATACCTTATTAGTTGGTCTGGCCCTGCTTAACATCTACTGTGCTGTTACAAGCATTTTAGGTCTCAAACAGCCCACATTTGCTAAGAATGTTTCAAAACGTGGTAAGGAAGGGAGATTACTACACCATGTAGCACTGACTTGGACAACTGATTGTTCTTACTTGTTTCTTCCTCTTTTTAGTCCCACATGCAGATATATCATTTAAAATCCTAATTGATATATTTTATTGACTAACAAGTTTAACCTACCATGTTGTCCGTATGCATACAATTTCATCCTGCAAAGGAGTACTTGTATAGTCAAAAACTTTTTGGGACCAAAGCAACATAACTTGTTGCCTTTAGGGCCCAAACTGTACATTAGTTTTGTTATCAACTATTAGGTCTGGATTAAACAAATATTTTTCTTGAGTGTGCTTGAAGTTTGATTATAGAGCTCCCAAAATAAAATGGCTAAAATTCTTGTGTTGACACTTTTCTTCACCTTTTTTTTGCTCTTATGCACACAAAAGTTCTAAACCCCTTCATGGTTTTTCTACTTCTGGGTTTGGCCTTATTCACTTCAGTTCTTTTGCTTCTAGGTTGAACTCTTGGTTTATTTTCTTGTGGGTTCAACTACTCCTTGCTTTGGTTCAGTTGCTAGACTATTTGGGACCCTGGATTCAAGTTTCTGATCTCAGCTAGGTACAGTCTTTTAATCAATTTAGTTATTTATGAAAGTCTTTTAAGTGGGAAAGGAGCTGTTGGGGTAATGGGAGTTCAGGTGCTGTTAGAGTTGAAAGCAGCTAGGATGAAGCTGCTGGTGGGGGTTCTGAATTTGGAATTGTTGTGACTTATAAGTTTATGGCTGTTAGTGAGTTATTTAGTCTTATTTTTATTAATTTTTATGCATATATATGAATTTAAAATAATTTTTTATTTTAAGTAGGATCTTACTGTGTTACGATTACATGGTTTATGTGTTTTCCTAACCTTACCGTATGTGTTTTCCTTACTTTTCCGATTCTAGGTAGGATCTCAATTTTGACTACCTTGATTGCATAGGATGAGACCTTTTTAAAGTCACAATCAATGTTTTAAATTGGAACTCTGGTGCCCTTGGTGAAAGAAACCCCTATTAATGCAATCTATAGTGTGTGAAGGAAGGATTTCAGAAGAACTAATGAGAATAATTCTGTTTCTGTTATGAAATTATCATCAGTTAGTCTGAAGAGCCCCTTTCCTTACAAGTGTACCACCTTACAACTTAGAAATGTCAATTAACATTATTATTCTGATCTACCCCTTTTTTGGTCTGAAACCACAGCTATAGGTGTCCCCCAAGGGAGGCAATCCTGATCAACAACATGGTGGGGCTAGCTCTTTCTGCAGGATTTTTATTCTGTACACAATGCTTAAAAATCTAAGAGCTTGCTTGATGGGAATCAGGCATATACCTAAACCAACCAACCTGTTGCTATGCAAAAATAGGCTTCAGCAATGATTAGTATTATCTATGTTCTGAACAGTTATTTGTTTTTATTTGTGTGGTTTACTCTGGCAGTTTGTATATTGAGTTGGATAGTTATTGGGTTATGTTTATCTGAATTCTGGGTACGGGAGTTGATCATTCTGCTGGTAGTTTGTTATTTACTATGTATTGAAGGAGAATACTGTTTATAATGAGGAACTATTGAATGCTATGTGCATATACTTGAATCTGGTCATTAAAAAAGTTTGTTTTTGTGATATAATCACTGTTCCTCGTGCCTAACAGTTTAATTCTGTGAGTTTTATTGTTTAAACGAGATTGTCAACTTGTTGGCTATGCTATAATTTGGGAATCAATTCCAATACTACGGTGTTTCACTGTCTTGAGATTTTTAGGAAGAATGACAGTACTGTCTTGGCTGGATAAATTTAATATTTTCCTGCTTACTAACCTATATGTCTGCTGTTACTTATGTGAGGTTGTCATTTACTCTCTGAACTGTTGAGATCTTCCCATTCTCCTATCAATGATTAGATTTTTATTACATGAAGGTAAATAGGTGGAGACTTGAACACTAATGGGTGTGGTGGATTCCAAAATGTAGTGCAAAAATCCTCATATGTATTAGAGAAAATTACTTGTAGGTATTTCACCCCATGATTTTCACCTCCAGACATTGTCCAAGTGTATAATAAAAATTAAAACAGTGCCATCCCGTAACTATAATAGCTTTCAATTGTTGCATGTAGCAGCATCAGGCAACCAGAATTTATGCAAATACAAAAAGTAGATATGATTCAATTACCTGGCACTAACTATTTCACATTGTTACAATGAAACTTCTTTTAACATTCAAACAAAAGCAAACCATGAGGTGAGCCCTGGGGAGGGGTCTGAAAATTGTGGTAAAAATGGATGACAAGGATGATATACTATTTAAACTTGTCTAATACTTGTCTTTTGCTTTAGGAATTTTCTACCATATAAAAATGTTCATTGTTTAGAAAACTTCAGTTTCGTCCTTGTTATAAATAATACATTTTCTTCTCTTTCTGTTCTAATTTTTTAAAGTTCATAATCTGGTTAGTTGGCTTAGTATTATAATTGCATATACCTGTTATTTTTTCAAATATTTCTTTTTGTTTGTACATGGAATGTTATCTCGTTTGAGAATTTCACGGTCAGGTGTTTTCTTAAAACTGTCCTGTGTAGAATATGGCTATTTATATGTTTTGTTCCCGTTATCCCAGAATTTTGAAATAGTTTTAAATTTTTTCTTTTCTTTGGTATGATATCAATAGGATTTTATTTGCTTTTTGATAGATATGATTTCTATCGTAGAACTGTCTACCCTTCAGGTTCTAACTGGTTTGTTTGCTTTTGGTAAAGAACATCTAAACATGAGAGTTGAATTTTTTTTTTTCTTTTGATTCAAAGCCAAAATAAGTTGATACTTTTAACTTACAAATTTCATATGCTTTTTTTAGGATGAAGGAACTACAAATTTTCAAGAACATGTATCTGGTGATGATCAATCTGATCCTGAAGGAGAGCTTCAGAAGGTTCATACAGTTTGACTATATATCTTACTGACATTGAACTTGATTTGATGCTGAAGGTTTTTGTGTTTGCAGGATGAAGTAGAAGCAGAAATTCCAGTTGAGGAGGTGTCAGTTCAACATGAACAGACCAACCCACAAGTGGATTTAGAGCTTAATCAACAAGATGTAGATGGAAAGGAGCAGCAGTCCTACCCGAGGAGGGGTTATCAGAACCATAGAGGTGGTCGTGGTGGAGTGAATAGGAGGGGTTATTCAAATGGTCGTGGAGGTCGAGGTGGCGGCAGAGGAGCCTATCAAAATGGCCGCAATCCATATTATGAGCAGCCTGGAAATTATTATCCAAGGAACTATTATAACAATAGAGGAAGAGGCGGCAGAGGTGGTGGCTACTCTTACAACAACCATGGTTCAGGTGGTCCTGTTAATCATGTTGCAGGTGATGTAGGGGTGCAATCATGATTAGTTATGAGGTGTCCATAATGTTTATTACTCTGTCACTAGTTGGTGGTGAACCTTTTTATTCGCCTGGCATGAAACATGTTTTGAACAATTTTGTTTGACACTCAAACATCTAGACTCCACCATTTTGTCGTCCAATGGCTAGTGGACCTTTGTCGAAATCTCACAGGAAGAGACTATTTTCGAGCATCTGATGTTCTGGAATGTTAGGCTATCTGCGATATCTTCCAACCAGTTTGGACCATTGTCGTTGCATGCAGTGAGTATGCGCTATACAGTGGGACCTACGGTAATGCACAGATTTCTAAAGTAGTGCCTTATTCGAAAATTTCTAACTGCATTCCATTGATGGTTTTTTTTTTTCAATTCTCGAGCGATCGCCTTTTAGCATTTACCAAAGGACTGTCACGTGACATTTTTGTTTCTACTTGCCATGGATTCATTAGTGTGTTGATAGAACCAAAGGATAGATTATATTTCGTTAATGCGTGGTTTTAGAATAAGAAAAAGTAGTCCCTTTATTTGTGCTTTATTGAGAAAGGGTATTTTCTTATGAAAAATATTTTTTTAAAACAATTATTGAAGCTAACAAAAATAAAAAACTTCGTTAGCAAATATATTTGTTAAGAATTAAAAGTAATTTTGGAAAATAAAAAGGTTACAATTTGTTTTGAAGAATCGTTTCATTTGTGGAAAGTCAGTCACGTGTGATTGTGGCAAGTTTTATTTGTAATTAGAAGTGTTGTCACCTTAAAAGGGATTATGCATTACTAATTATGGTAGAATTTATTGATCTTAATTGGGAAGGAGAAAAGTAAAATTTAATTTTATAATGTCAATATTAAGGATTATTTATTAGTTACATAACTTATGTTACTATTTATAAAATGGTCATTTGACTTTATATTTTAATTTTAATAATTTAGATTTAGATTAATAGGAGAGAAATAAATATAAATAGATTGTATTATGAATGGTTAAAATTGAAATTGAAAAAATAGCAAAAAAGAAAAAAAGAATTGAAAAATGTATAATTCCTTTTAAATGGTCATGAAATTTTAATAATTTTTAATCTTAATTGTCTGCTCGTCTCACTCGTATAAAAGATAATCCTCATACAAGGATAGGAATGCCAGATTAATAACGGTTAGATTTTATTATGAACAGGCTAGCTTAAAATTAAGAAGTCGTGCACATACACCTTAAGACTCTTGATTAGAAACTCATACAAATTTTATCCAAGACTAATAAGTGATTTATAATTTGATATGGATACAAAGATTATTGCTGACGATGTATCTTTTAGTATAGAGATTAACAAATATGAACAAAATATCAAGTGTATTATGTCAGTGAAATATGATCTTTCTTAATAGTTCACACAAACCTGTGGCAGCCCGTAGTACTCGACGATCGTATAATAGTCTATACCTACTTGATCGTGAAATTTTTTCCTAACACTTCATATTTACATTATAGCTTAAGTGGATAACTGCGCATCCTGTGATTCCTCTGTTTGAAATGATAAATAATTTCAGGAATTAATTTTTAAAGATATAAAAATTAATTTTAGAAAATATAGAATCCTATTTTCATAATAGTACTAACATTAATAGGTTGACAAAACCTAACGGATATGTCATTTTTTATGATAAATTTATTTTTTACAGTATGTTAAAAATAATGGAGGTGTTTGAATTGTAATGATACTTGAAATATGCTCATAGGGTGATAAGGAAGGAATAACGAAATTTGAAGCAACGAAAAAGAAAAACGAAATGGCAATAAAAATAAAGAGTAAAGTTTTAAAGGAGAAAAAAGTATTCCAAAATTTAAAACAAAAATAAAAAAATTTAATAATTTAAATTATTTTTAAGGATATTTAAAAAAAGTTACATGAAAATAATAATAATGTGTATAAAGGAAAAAAAATGCAAAAAGCAATCTCCATGTTCAATTGATAAGGAATTATTTGGTTACAAAATTTTTTGTTTTTATTTTTAATCATAAAACACCTTATTTTAATTTATATTTTCAATTATTTGTATATAAACTAATAAATATAACTTTTTTATTTTTTTTCAATTATTCTTATACAAATAAGCGAGAATGAAAACAAAAATAATTTATAAAATGAAAGACACCTCAAGCTTAAAAGTTCAAATATATCACAATTTGGAATATAGTTGAGACATTAGAAACTAAGATAACCATTTAATATACTGAAAACAGATAATTTAAAAATCAAGATAGATTTCTTAGGAATATGAATGAAAATAAAGAAAAAATTGAGAGAGAGAGAGAGAGAGTTGACATTGAAATTAAAAGGGAACCTTAATTTGAAAGCATCTTAGAATGGAAATTGAAATTTGAAACACCATAAATAGGATGGAAGATTACAAAGGAAAGTATTTGGGTGTCTAGCCTATTTCTTCAAGTGTTAAATTAATATATCAAGGAGAAACTCAACATATCAAATTTCCATATTCTAGTAGAAACTCAATAGAAGGCAATTTATGTAAATCCCATATAAATGACTAGTGGTGAATAAAATTAAAAGTTGCAAGAAACTTCGATGGAATAAAGTTATATGATATATCAATGCATACTTATAAAGCCTTAACCTATCTTTCCAACAATATATTTTTTTTCACCCAAAAATGTCTCCTCTTCCTTTAAAGGAAAAGTTTGATATTTCATTACTAAAGAAATGAATGATGTTCTATGACTGCGAAGCAGAATATATTCTCAATCTCAATTTCAACGTATTCTAGAAAAAAGTGATTAAAAAATTGAATCAAAATAGTTAAATTAAATGGTTTTATATTTTGTGTAAAAGATGATCCTATTAAATAGAGTGTTTACCCAACAACTAGCCCTAGAATTCTAGAAAATCTCTCTTTTCTTCCTTTGAGATTATTTGAAAGATTTGGTGAGTGTCTTTTTCAGTGCTTTAATTTGTAATTTCTCCATAAAAATGTTGTTGTTTCTTGGTAAATGGTAATGGTGGGTATCTCAGTTCAATCAATGCCTCGTTTGTAAACGATTAGCTTTTTACTTTAATGATATAATTTTATTTTCCTATACAAAAATCTTCGATCGTATAAATTGTAATTGCGGCGCACAATTAATTAACAATAATCTTCTTACATTGTACTTTTAATTCCTTTTTAACGGCCAAATCATACTCCATTATTAAATAATATATCAAATTATCATTATATGTCTATCATCTATGTAACGGCAAAACAACCTGCTACTAAAATTACCATTAACGTGTGAAAAATATACCTTATTAAACATTTTAAATTATCATAAAAAACGGATTAAATTTTTTTAAAATTCTAGATAATAATATTTTTATTTTAAATTTCTTAAATATATCCTTAGACATACGTTAAAAAAATCTATGTGAAAAATTCTAATCAAAGAATTAAAAGTACAAATTTTTATTTGAAAATTGAAAAGATAATTACTCTCATAATTTTTATGCATTTTAATATAAATTTGTTATTTATTAATTCATAAACCAGTGATTTAAAGATGCTAGTTAACAAAATTTATTTATTATATTAAAAATATTTATATTTTATTTTATTTAATACTTAAAAAATTAGATTTTTAAAAAAAATGAGAACTTTACATTCGTACTATTGCTGGATACCACTTTGTGTTCATATTTGACTTACATCCTATTAGTCTATTATTATTTGGGTGAAAGATTGTAGGAAAAATATCAAAATAAAAAGACTAATTAATGTTGATAATATATGTTTTATTATATGGATATCAAGTAATTATGTTCACTAAATCCGCTCTAAGGACAATTAGTATATAGAATTAAAAAAATTGTTGAATATTTTATTTTGAGATGTAAAATGAGTATTGTAAGAGAGAAATCAGAAAAACATAAAAGGAATAAAAGATATAATACATTATATAATTAATTAAAATTAAAAGACGCGCATACTAATTTTCCCATCATCACACTTTGTTACTCTATATAAAGTCCAAATGCTACTTAAAAACCCAGAATCCACTCATAATAACAATTCCTACATAGAATTTTGGTTTTCATTCCCCAAAAAGGAAGACATTATGGGAGCAAACTTTTCCAATTTAGAGTCTGTTGAAAAATCATCACACTCATCCCTTATCCTCACCTTCCATTCTACTGCTAAATGGAAGGCTCATCTTGATGCCTCCCAAGAAACAAACAAGCTGGTTTGTTATATATTTATTTCTACTCTTTCACTTAGTAAAATAGATTTATGTTAGTCCTTTTTTTCATAAACTGAAAGTAATAATAAACAAAAATGAATGACTTTTACATAATTAAAAATTAAAGCGTAAGATATATGTAATCTTGAAGGATAATTTAAAAGTTTAATTCATGATTAGTTGAGGTATATAAGTGTATAACTGATTATTGACATCATCAACTTTGAAATGGTTAAAGATGGTGATCGACTTCACGGCTACGTGGTGTGGACCTTGCAAATACATGGACCCAATCATCAAAGAATTTGCTGGAAAATACAGGGACGTGGAGTTCGTGAAGATCGATGTGGATGAGTTAATGGTATGATGCATAAGCATTCCTTTAATAATACTCGTTCCTTCTTTAACAGAAACACTGATTTTGATAGTAAATAAAAATGGAAACAGGAGGTGGCCCAAGCATTTGAGGTGCAAGCAATGCCAACATTTATACTGATTAAGAAAGGCATAGTAATGGAGAAGGTGGTGGGAGCCAAAAAGGAGGACCTGCAGAAGCTGATTGAGAAACGCAGGAATTGAGTTTCTTCTATGAATGTATCGTTTACTGTAATAAACTCGCAGCTCACTCTGTAACATATATTCCTAAGTACGAATGTCCACTGTGCATGCGTGCGTGTTATACTGTAGAAAAAATAAGATATCATAAATATAGTTAACACTTTTTTCAATACATTCAACTTTAAAAATAATCAAGAACATAAAAATAGAATACAAACTTAAATTAAAGAAGACTTTTAGAATTAATTCAATATATTTTTCATTCATTCTCTTATTTAAAGTTCAAAAGTGCAAAAAAAGAAAGAAAGAAAGAAAGATAGATAGATAGATAGGTAGAATAATAGATAGTTGAAGAAATTTTAAAAAAAAAATGTTAGAAAATATAGTAATAAATAATAAAATTATAAATTATTTGAAATTTTGAACCAATAAACTAATAATTTAGATATGAAAATTGAAATAATAAATATCGATTATTATGTTGATAATAAATTTATTTTAAAGTGACATAAGAAAACACAAAAGTTTAACACTTTAAAACTCAATAATACATTTTTTCTTGTCTCTGTGGCTTTGATATAATACAGATTATTGTAAAATAAAAAACTCAATAATAAATAAACATTTTTTTAAAAGGGTATATAAATTTTTTTAGAGCCTTAAGTAATTGGGAGCCTTCGGCAACCACTTCATTGATTTGAAGAGAGCCATGCTCCGGTGAAAGGATAAAATGAGAATTGATAGCTGTTAATTGAAAAAATAATTATTAAATCAATGGATACAAATAATTGGACCATCCAACGAACACAAAATTATGGGCCATTGCAGCAAAAAGGATATATTCTCCAGACATCATCGCACGACCCTTCAACTTTAAGCACATCCGAAAAACTACATAATCCACTTAAGGTTCCATTTTTATCAACTTTGTAATACATTCTTTTTTTCTTTTTCTTTATCTTTCTTCCAGCTGATGAGAAACACTGGTCAGTGGCTAAAAATTTTAAAAAACAACTCATAATAAGCATACATAAGCACATCATATTTGGTGGCATTTCGTCTGTAAGCAGTTTTAGGGCAAAGAAGAATAATAATATTAAAGAATCTAAGGTTGGAGTGATTAGGAAGTTGTACATAATTAGGCATCATAAGCACAAATGAGTCTGTGTCTGTAGTCCATAGCTTCCCTTTTTTGTATATTTTAAAATTCTATTGTGTCTTTACTTTTTTTTTTTTTTTTTAAATTTCTCAAATTTCTCTTCAGCGATGAACCTAAACCGCTGACTCAAAGAAGATGCCCTATGGCCATAAGGAGCCGCAATTCAATTTGTGAAAAGCATATTGGTGTTTGATCTAACAAAAGGTCCACGAGCTCAATTTATTTGGTGGGGGAAAAAGATCTTATTCGAAACTTTTCCCTTTAATGAAAAAAGAAAACTTTTCCCTTTAATATATACAATTCTCTTTGCCCTTCAACTGGGATCGAATACTATTATTTGTGGTCATCTCATTTGGGCTTCCATTTTGCTTTTGTTGGTTGTGGTTCAGATTACATCGTCTTACTTTTTCTTTTCGGTGGCTTAGTACCCTATTACAGAGATATATCGTTTATTCTTGGACATAATCTTCACTTCTATTTGTTGAAGAATGATCTCAATTATAAATTTACTTTAATTTCTTTAAATAAATAATTTAATATACACTGCAGATATTATACAGATGAACTGTTATTGAAGTACCTCATAATTAAGTGGGTTGATAACAATTGGACCAGAGAATTAGTTCGCAGAATAGTCATATAGTTTATGAACCAATAAGGAAGAAAGTTTACGATGCCAATTTCCAGAAGTGTCAAAGTTTATATTTGTGTGTGAAAGAGAACAATTTCATTCAGTAGTGTGATTGATGTCATGCAGATGTATTTTCAAAGCAGGTCTTGTTGCTCTGACATTCGAACTCCACCAAATTCGTCATTTAGGTGGTTTTGTTTGATAATATGGAGGAGGTGAATGAAAAAGTTTAAAAACTAAGAGAGATAAAACAAAAGTGGACTGAAAAAATTTCTTTAATTTAAGTGAACACAAAAATATGAATTTATAGAGATTTTGTGTGATTTATAACAACTTTTTTTTACATTTAAAAATTTTCAAATAAGTTTTACTATTAAATAAATCTTAATACTTTTTTTTTAAAATTAAATTTCAAAGAAAGATTTTCCTGAAAAATTATCTCCCAAACAATCTTTATGTTTGGACAAGAAATTTTATATTACTAAATTATATGTATTTATATAATAAAAATAATATTTATAAAATATTACAGAATTTTAAATAAATATTTTTTGCATTAAATATAAAATATTTTAAACGACATGCTTTTATATAAAATTTAAAAACACCTACGTTATGTTAATTAATTTTTTGTAATTATCATTCATAACTTTTCTAGTGCTTTCATTTTTAATTAAATCATTTTTTATTATTGATTTTATAATTTTCAAAAATTATAAATTCTACTTTCAAATACAGCCATATAGTTTAGATATTTTTGTTGGTACTTAATATGAAAATCTTTACAAAATTCTACAAATATTTAATATTTTTTTACATATTTATCCGTTGTTATTTTTTAAAATTTTTTTAAAACAATTAATATAATATTATAATTTGACTTTAACTAAAAGTAAACTTAGAATATTGTAATTAATTTGTTTAAAATAAGAACATTAAGTACTTCCAATATTTTTTCTTAATCAATTTGATTTAATGAAAAGAGTTTTTGTAAAAAAGAGAAGTAAGCATCCATTCGAGTACTTACATGTGTCAATTAAGAATCTGATACTTTTTCGAAGAAGTGATTCCCTGTACTTTGCTAGTCCTATAAATTAGTCTTTCCTACGGAGTGCATTCATCCAAACAAAACAAGTAAGAAGCAAAACCTCTTCTAACTTATAAAAATAAATTTTGGTTTTCACAATCATCAAAAGAAGGGAGCAAGATGGGAGCTAACATATCCAACATGGAGACCAATGCTCATAAATCGCCACTGTCATCCAACATTCTCACCTTCCATTCCACTGCTAAATGGAAGGCTCACTTTAATGCCTCCAAAGAAACTAACAAGTTGGTATGCTATTACAGCTATTATCGTTTGTGTGGTTCACTTTAATTTTTTTGTGTTTAGCTTTCATGATGACATTGTCCACTTTTCTTCTTTTTTTGGCTAAAGATGGTGATCGATTTCACGGCTACATGGTGTGGACCTTGCAAAAACATGGACCCAATTATCCAAGAGTTTGCTGTAAAATACACAAAAGTTGAATTCATCAAGATTGATGTGGATGAATTGATGGTATATTACTCATTTATATATTTTCTTAATGTTAAGTGAAACACTATAATGTACTTTGTACATGCATTATTATTACATATTTGCACCACGTCCATTTAGATACTCAAAATCATTGGGTCATATCAACAACTAATTTTAAAATATTGTAAATAGGGGGTCACTCAAGAATTCCAGGTGCAGGCAATGCCAACATTCATATTGATGAAGAAAGGCAAAGTCATTGATAAGATGGTGGGAGCAAAAAAGGAAGAGTTGCAAAAGCTGATTGAGAAGCATCAAAACTGAGTGTGTGATCTTGCACGTGGCAAAGGCTATATAAAGACCATTATAAGGGAAGAGGAATAAGGATAAATTATTCAATATCTCCTATGTCATACCACATTATCATGTTAATTGGTGTGATGTGCGTAGCTAACTGTTGACGTTCAAAGCACTTGTGTGTGCTTTTTTAGTCTTTTACCGGAAATTCTCAAAGTCAAAGACTAAAAAAAATATTTATCTGTTTTTTGGTCTGAGTATTTATATGTACCAATAGAAAAAAAATTTGTCATCAATTAATTTACTTTTGTAAGAGGCATTAATGCGAGATGGAACCTTGGTTAATTAAAAAAATATTATACATTGCGTCTGTAACATAGTTTTTTAGGGAGACGGTGATGAATATGTCTTTGATACATATAGTTTAAATGATTGGTATGGCAGTATTTGTACGTGTCTATGAGTGTGTATCTAACCGATAATATTCCAAGTAATTTGACAATTTTTGTTGATGAGAAGTAATTTAACATTCAGTAATACTATTTCTTAGCCTCTAATTTGTATGCATTAAGAATCCTTGTGGCCAAGGGTATGTAGGGCTAATGACGCGCGGTGAATGTACTAAGTTACAAACTTTGTTCTGAAAAATTGTCGTCCTATTCAGAATCTTTTTCATTAAAGGGCATGATCTAGTTAATGAAATGTATGATGAATGTAATAAGTTACAAGCTTTGTTTCTGAAAGCTTCATTGTCTAGCTCACTAATTACAACTAGCATTATAGTTGCAGTTGTTAGAGCTAGAAGTTAGTCACTGTCATTAAATTTCTCAAATTTAGCATTGATTGTGAATATTGTGACTACTTCTCGTAAGCACAAGTGCTCAAGCAACAATCTTTACAAATTTGTTCGCTAATGATGATATTAAAAGAGGTAATGAACCCAATCAAATAGGCAACTTCACAAAGAGATAGAAATACTTGGCGAGGATCTCATTTAACTTCAGTTCAAAGCATAATGTGCATGTTTGATGCTACTTGTGAAGTTCCTCAAAAAATTATCGAAGAAGGTAATTATTTCCTTTGTGGTGATACTAGTAGTACTTATAATATTTTCACATCTTTTGAATTTATTTTTATGCTACATCTTATGAGAGATATCTACAATTACTCATGAGCTTTGTAATGTTGTTCGTTTTCACCAGTTGAATTTGACCCAGCAAATGAGGGATTCAGGTAGGGAATTTTTTTTAAGCAAGTTATATCATTTGTTAGATATATAAAATCAATAATATTTTTTTAAAAATGCTAACAAAACATTATTTAACATATTCTTTTTTAACATTATTATTGGATAAAATGTATTAAAAATTAAAAAAATTACGTAAGTGTCACTTTCTCTTGTTCCTAATTTGTTACATATTTTTATAGTTTATAATAAATTTTAATCAATATAAAATGTGTTAGAAAGCACATTGTTAAATTTCTCGTTTCTTTTAATATTATTATCATGTTAACTTGATATGCAACGGTGGGAGCTTAATTAACAGTAAATTTTGTGATAATATGATGAAATTTCTTACTTTGAGTGTAACTTTAGATTGATAACATATATTTACAAACAAATGTGAAACAAAATTACAAATTTGCAATATAATTTCATCCTAATGATTATATTAAATATAAGTTCAACATTATGAAATTAATGTTGATTTTCATTTTAAATTCAGAAACATATCTACAATTTTAAGCTATGTCAACGATTGTGAAAACAATAGAATTATTGTTTGATATGGGCATTGACTCTTCCTAGTTCAACTACTATAATTGAGAGATTGTTTTCAACTATATTGTAAAAATTAGGCTCAGATGGAAGATGAATTTATAATTAGTTGTTTGGTTACATACATAAACAGTGTGGAAAAGTTTGATATATGAATTTTAAGGTGTTAAAAAATAATGTACATAATTTACAAGTTAACTAAAAAATAACTTTTATATAGACGTTTAACACATTCTTAATTATCAATCAAAATTTATTAAAAATTATAAATATTACGTAAGTCTTATTTTTTTATTTTTAATTTAATATTTTTATCTCATATTTTAAAGTTTTTGATAAATTTTAATGATATTTAAAAGTGTATTAAACATGAAATTCTCTGGAATTCTATTTCATATTATATTCATCCGCTACGCTTAAAAATAGAATCAAACGGTGACGTTTTGTTCCATCAAAGTTGCGGAGTTAAAAAGATTCGGGTCCATTAATTGTCTTTATACTGTGTTTCTTTAGTTACCTTTGCGTGTTTCTCATTTTTTGTTTATTTTTTTGCATACTGAGACCGTGCGTTGTGTTCTAAAGTAGATTCTCCCAATCCAATTGTGTAAACAGTTCAAAGGTGGCTTCACAAAAAAGATGAAAAGTTCATTTTAGAGAGATAGTTACATCGTAATCTTGAGATGCTGCATCAGTTCATTCCAAATTTGCTTCCTGCTGTATGCTGATATATATATATATAAATCATGCTTTTAGTTTACGCAGTGCCAAGAAGGAATACACACCATTGTTCTTTAGGAGCATTTTTATTTTTTTCTTTTATACCTTTTTTAAGTTCAAAATAATTTAAGCATGTAATTCTAATCAATGAAGAGAAAATCAATCACTTTGAGGAAGAATTGGCGATGATATACTAATAACATATGAATAATGGTCGACAGATTGTAACAGGAACCTTTAGCCTTCTATTTATGGTGTAAGATTTCAGAAAACGTTGACATCCTAAATTGATTGGTTTGGTGGGATTGATCAATTTTCATGGAACGGAAATATTTTGATATATATATATATATATATATATATATATATATATATATATATAAGTTTACGCGATGGAGTTGTCAATCTTAATGAAATCAACACATTGATGGTTTGGTTAATCATTTATCATTCTTTACTTTTCTTTTGTTGGCTTAGCTTTCAGTGTAGTCAGTTTGCCAACGTTTCCTATGGATTCCCTGTTCGGTCCAATTTTTTCTTTATTTTTATAAATTTAACATTTTTTATTTTATTTCTAAGGACAACTTCATGCAATTATAACACAAAAATCCATACATGAGAATATCTTAATTAGTTATGTCATCATTAAAGAGTAGAAAGTATTTAATTTTAGAAAATTAGAGACTAAAATAAACAAAAATTAATGACTAAAGTCAAACTCTTACCAATCATCCGCAATGTTTTGAAATGTTTGATAACGATCAATTTTAAGAAAATAATTATGTTTTCAATGTTTCATAAAGTAATTAAATAAAAGTATAATATTTTTTTAACAAATAAACTAATCCAAACATAAGCATATCATAGTTCCAAAACTTTTAAGATCTTGTTGAAAGCAAGGTTATGTATACTCTTTCTGTGACAAACAAGAAAAATGGCTACAATTTTATCACATTAACGACACGTGATAAGAAAGACCATTTAACTAACGTTAATGGAGCTGGCACCAGCTACTGATTCAAGTACTTATGCTCTCGAATTTGTCTTAATTAGCTTCAATGGTCCATTTTACAGCTTGCCACTTTAAAGAATCTGATTCACTTCATAAGAAATTACACAGTAGTTTCCTACTACTTCATTAATCTCTATATATACCTAAGTTTACAACCAGTTTGCCATCATCCAAACCAATTAAGAAATCTCAAACCCCTCCAACTTAGCGGTGATTCATACACATTGATCAATTTTGGTTCATCAATTCCTGCCAGAGGAAGGAACCAACATGGCAGTCACCTTTTTTGATTTTGGGTATGCTGATAGATTTTTACAGACAGAATCCTCCAACATGCTTACTTTACACTCTACTGCTGAATGGAATGCTCATTTCAATGCCCTCAAAGAAACTAACAAGCTGGTATGTTTCTGTGGCTACACTCTTTAACCAGTACATAATCAATTGATATGTGGTTTCTCTGATATAGTTTTTTTTGGTATAGATGGTAATTGAATTCACAGCTTCATGGTGTGGACCTTGCAAACTCATGGACCCAGTTGTACGAGAGTTTGCCGCAAAATATACAGATGTTGAGTTCATCAAGGTTGATGTAGAGGAATTACTGGTATGTCACTCATTCTGTTTGTCAGTGTTATTTGTAAAAACAACAGACATTATATATAAATGCTCATGTTTTTTAGTTATAAATGATTTCCATCACTTGAGAACTGATTTGTACTTATGGTATAAATGGCAACAGGAATTGTCTCAAGCATTCCAGGTGCAGCAATTACCAACATTCATGCTAATTAAGAGAGGCAAAGTTGCTGATAAATCGGTAGGAATAAAAAAGGAGGAGCTAAAAAAGAAGATTGAGGAACACAGAAAATAAATGATTGATCATCATGAACTATAATAAAATAAAATCAGAAGGTACCACAGCACATTCTACCTTGACATCATAAGGGAACAAGAAATACCAACAACTCAAATTGCAATAAGTTGGCGTCATCATTTTCGCCCAATGAGAAACAATACGTGTCATTCTTTACCATTACAAGCATACAATGTAACAAGCCATATGTAGTTGCCTGTGTTTAACATACAAGGGCATAGATTAACATCTATCAATGCTATTGGCTTCTTTCTGTGTTATTTGACTCATAAAAATTTCTACCTACTAGCAATATTATTGCTTATTAATATGACTAACCAACATACTTCTCTCTTGCAAGAAGGAAAAAAACCAAGAGAAAAATAATACCCAAACTATCTTCTGGAGTGTTGGTTTTAAAAAATAAAAGGAAAATTTTGAAAGAGAAATGATGGGATCAAAACAAATGGACATTGGTACATGAAAAACTCCAACTAAAGGAAATATCTTCACATAAGGCAATTTCAAATTAATCACACCAAAATAAACAAGACTACCCTATTTAACTGAACCGGTCAATTCACGGATAACCGTAGTTACCTTTCTTTTTCCTTTCTTCTAGAACAGGAGAGTAAAATATGCAAACTATAAATACTGAATAACCCTTGTTTCTAGAACTACATCATGCTGCAGATAGTACCAAACATGCTTTCTTTAGTTGTATTATGCACATATTTCATATCGACAAGTAGAATCACATATTAGTTATTTGCATTGTAAACTAATCTTCACGGTAAAAATGGTTAATAGAGAGATAAATACAGCCATTAGATAAATACAGTTCATTGTAAAATATTGGTTTAGGAATCAGCATCAATTAGAATCCTTCTTAGATCATACTTCTGTTGTGTGGTCAGATTCGGTGGAAACACAACACCAAACTTGATTCTGAGGTTTCCTTTCTTGCCAGGTTCCTTTGTAATGGGCATACCTTCATTTGGGACCACCAGCTCATAGCCTGGTTTCACAATATCAGTGACTTGGATTGTGAGATCTCTTCCATCCAAGGTAGTCAAGTTGAGGGTTGTTCCTGTAAGAGCATCTCTAAGTAATATCTCGTGGATCACTACTAAATCATTTCCATCCCTCTTGAAAACAGCATGAGGTCTCTCATCCACCACAAATATTAGATCACCTCCAAGTTCTTGATTGCCTTTACCAGGAAAAGTGATTTTTGTGCCCTTCTTCCACCCAGGTTTGATATCGATCCTCAGGACTTCATCTACAGACTTCAATTTTCTGCCAAAACAAAAAAGGAATGCTCCCAGTGAAACCAACAACTTTTATTTATAAGCATATTGAAAGGAGGCCAAAAGTGGATATATAGTGTCCATATTTGTTGGTTCTTTGGGAAAAATAAAGAAAAAAAAAATGTGCACTTTTTTCAATAGCCATATTTATAATAACTTAAAGAAACAAACTAATTATACAGCTAAAAAATTGATAACAAATTTAAATAACAAATTAAATTATTTTATAATATAAAAATTAATTATTAACTATGATATTAATCTTGAAAAAACTAAAAACAACCTATAGCAATTTAAAAAGTATATTGTTAACAATATTTTATAAAAATAGCCTTGTTAAACACTAAATAACTCTGATATTCAAACAAATCAATCAAATATATTCTACATAACATGAATTTTGCTTGTTTAAATCGAAAGACATTAACATCAGGAAGGCACAATTGTCCATGATCAAGCCAAGGCCAAAAGAAAAACCGACCAAACCAGCGGAGAGGGTAGTAGCCAAATATAATAATGATAAAAACAACATTAATAATAATTACAACCAAACAGAATGACAGCCAAGTCAAGTTCATGGGGTCAACCACCATGTAAACTGTCCAAGATTTACTGCGCAACAAAATTTTAACAAATAATAATAAAGGGGATGAGAATTAATTACCCAAATTCATCAGTTCCTGTGACCCTCAACTTCATTCTGCAACCGTTGTAAAGCTCCTCAAGAGTACATGCCAACGTGTTCTCAACAACCCTTTCTTTGTTTTCCTTTATATTATTCCCAACACCGTTATCTTTGTTAAAACGTTGAGAGTTAAGGGGATAGTGACCATATAAGTCATAGATCTTGCGCTTCTTGGGGTCAATAAGCACATCATAGGCTTCAGAAACTTGCTTAAACTTGGCCTCAAACTCTTCTTTCTTAAGAGGGTTCTTATCTGGGTGCCATCTCATAGCCAACCCTTTATAAGCCTTCTTCAGTTCCTCATCAGTGGCATCATGATTCACCATCAGTATCTTGTAGTATTCACCACCACCCATGTCAACAAAAGCAAAGGTTCAATTCTGCGTCAAAATCAGTGCTTTTTATGAGGTGAAGAAACTTTCTACGCTTTTGTCAGTGACTTTGTGTAAGTGACTGTAAAAGGGTAAGTACGTAGAAGTATTAGTTATGCCAACTCGAAAAAGCAGTAGAGTTCACGCTTAAGAAGAGATTTCTAAGAGATAAAAGCTGAAACAGAATTATGATGAGAAACAAACTTCACGCGGCGTAGAGTGCATCATTTTAAATCTTTTAAATATTTTTTTATTTCATATTTATTTTACAAAGTAGTAAAATATTATTAAAAGGATAAATATAAATTCTTAAAACTATTAAATTGAAAATATTAAACCTATTTTATATTTTTAAGATAATAAATATATGTAATTTTTATTTAACATTTACTCTATCAAATTATAAAAAAATAATAAAACTCTGTACAAAACAGGGAGATGCATACTTTCAATTTTGTATTTTGATTTTTTATTAATTATATGTTGAGAAGGAAAGTTGCTACTGTAACCGCATGTAGATCAAAATGGTTAAATTGAATAAATACTAATTTGACATAAATATTAATCAAATCAAATTAATTTAAAAATATAATATTTTTCAAGAAAATGTAATTTATAACAAAAATAAAAATAAATCCTTAAAAAGGGAAAATTTTGAAATTGTTAAAAACAATATTTCAACTATATTTTCTTTGGCAACAAATAATGGCTGTATCTGTAATGCTTAATATTTGAAGAAATGGTTGTGTTAGAAAGCAAAGGCCCATTTGTTTTTTGTCAACTAAGCAAAGGCCCAATAAGTTACCCAGCTATTGATGAGCCCTTCTCGTGATACGGCTAATTTTGTCACAACCCATTGCATCAGCAGGTTAGGATCCCACATTTTAACGTAATTTTGTTTTTTTTTTTTTATATCACTGTTTATTGTGAATTCTACAAGTACGTTTAATCTTTTAGGGAAATTATATATTTTTAATTAATTTTTAAAATTTATTAAATATACTTTCAAAAAATAAATTGAAAAATTACCAAAAAAATATATGGTGTAAATAACAACAAATAGTGAATGGAAAAATTGCTCAACCAAAAGCTTTTCCCCATTTTTAAGCTTTATTTGTCATCTTGGACCAAAAATCAACAATAGTTCTTTGGTTACATTTAACACTTCGATTTCCAGATTAATTCTCTGTATAGTTTTGGGCAGAAAGCTATTTCTGAAAAATTGAATTCGAAAGCAGACCAAAAAATAAAATAAAATAAGATATAATACGGAATTTATGTTCTTTTTTTCTTAACCAATTTGCAATACAATATGGAAATCATTGGATGAGCATGACTAAAACTCCTGTTTTGCATTTCGTTTTCACACATAAAAGCATGACTTTTTCTGTCTGAATAACCATGAAATTCAAAACCCGGGGCCATAGCATAGGAAGGTTCACACTTATTTCTTCCGTTGATTTTTCCACAACTAAACAAGCTTATAAAAGCAATCTAACAATGGTGTTGAAATTCACATCAAGAACTAGAATTCTCACCCCCCCTTAACACATAATCTGATACTCAAAATCTAGCATACACATGGCATGGTCAACCTCCTCCACTAGCACCCCCCAAGAAAAACACGAGGTGTTCCTCAGCTTTAGGGGTGAGGACACCCGTTACACTTTCACTGGCCACCTTCATGCCACCTTAACAAGACTCCAAGTAAACACATACATAGATTACAATCTTCAAAGAGGGGATGAAATATCATCATCACTTCTTAAGGCCATTGAGGATGCAAAACTTTCTGTCATTGTTTTTTCCAAAAACTATGCAAATTCAAAGTGGTGTTTGGATGAGCTTGTCAAAATACTCGAATGTAAGAGGATGAGGGGGCAAATTGTGTTGCCCATTTTCTATGACATAGATCCTTCCCACGTGCGAAATCAAACGGGAAGCTATGCTGAGGCATTTGTTAAACATGGGACACACTTGGATGGTCAAATGGATAGAGTGCAAAAGTGGAGGGAGGCTTTGAGAGAAGCCGCTAATTACTCCGGTTGGGATTGCTCTGTCAATAGGTAACGTATTTTTAATCTTTTACTAATTAAAATTGAAACCACCAAAAACAATTGCAAAATCATTTGATTTCACCAATTCAGCATCAAACTTACTCAAAATCTCAAGTTTAGTGAAGTGGAAAAAGGGCCACGATGGGAAATGCATGAGCTACTTAAAAAAATTAAATACATTTTTATGATGTGAAATTTTATTATTAAATTTTAAATATAGTCGTAATTGGATCCTTTAATTAGATTTTAAAGAATTTAATTCATATAAACCTTTATTATGATGATACAGGATGGAATCTGAACTTATCGAGAAAATTGCGAAGGATGTGTTAGAAAAACTAAATCGAGTGTATGTGGGTGACCTAGATCAGCAGATTGCAAAGTTAGAGAAACTTGCACAGCTTCAATATCAGTTTTTTCAAAATATAACCTCCGCAGAAAATTGGAAAAACCATGACGCAACTGTTCAACGTATCACAGAACTTAAAATGGAGAGAAGTGTTCGCATGCTTCGCTTGTCACCTGACATGCTTTCACATTTGGAGAATTCAAACAATGATAATCCTTTTCTGTTCTAATGTAGTATTGTGAAGTTCCGATGTGATGAGTTTTCTTAATTTCAAAATTATAGTTAGCCGATTTGTATTTCTGATCAAATGTTTCCTACGATTATGAGAAATTTAAATATGAATTAATAATTTTTTTGTTGATTCTGATCCATCTTTCTTTGTAAAATATATAAATGTTAGTAGATGATTTTATTATTTTCCCCCGATCTAATATCACTATAAATCTTTATGATGTGTCATGCAATTCGGGATTGTGTTAGCTGACATCCCCCTTAATTTGAAGTTTCACATCTATTGTAAGTTGTGAAACCATTGTATAAGAAAAGTATGTAGCAATTGTTCATTTATTACGGTTGATTGCACTTAATGTATAAAATGTAAAACGTAAAGTTATATGCATATGCACTCTTGATTTGAATGAAAAGTCAAACTTCATTCTTGATTATTAAGAAGTCAAATTTTATTCATTGATGATATATGTGATTGAATGTAATTATATAATTAAGATCAAATTAGTAAATTGCTCACACCCATTTAAAACTCTGCAAATAGTTGATTATTAAAAGACAATATCACTAAGATAATAATAATTTTGGCTATTTCATTTTAACTCAAACTCAGGTAAAATCAATCTAAATGTTACATATAAATCATATTTTAACACCTCTAATAAATATCAACTTAAATATTTTCTAACAAAGGACGCAATTCCATATAAAACAATTACATGGTCACATGTACAAACTGACAAAACCTACCAACGTTTGTACATGGGAGGATTTTTAAGGACGTAAGTACATATTTGTTACTAACAATACACTCATCTTGGTCATATTTTTCTCTAACTTGAGTGTTAAAGTGTTTCTTTAAAAACACTTATCTTTAAATTTAATCTATGACCAAGAACCTTGTATCATAAGGATACTCTACTTCAACTATTAAGTACATATGAAAAAATCAAAGATAATTATATTATAACATGAAAAAAAAATTGTGTAAATTTAGTAATGATTTATTTTTTAAAATAATCAATTATTTTTTTAAAAAAAAATCTTCTCAAAAATAATAAAAACAAATGATTATGATTAAAAATACTAAATTTAGTCATAATAAAATAAATACATAAAAAGTTAATAATGCGGTTTATATGAACTCAAAGACTGAGGAATTACCAACTAATTATTAAATAATCACATATAGAATCTATTTAAAAAGATTATCAACAACTTACTTTTTTAATTTTTTTTTATTTTTATTTTATCTTAATAAATTTATGATTAATTTTTTTACATATATAACTTATTCTTTAAAATAAAAACTTATAAAATAAAAAATTAAATAAATTATGTATCTAAATGTACTATGATAAAAAAAATATTTAGTCACATTATAAACAAAACTTGATATAACTATTAAATAATATAATCTTTTAAATTAAAATAAAAACAAAATCGTTATACAATTTCTTAAATATTATTTTATGCTATTTATCAAATAAAATTAAGCTTCCAACTTTCATAGAAAACATACACAAAAACTATACTTAAGTTTTATCTTTAAAATAAATAGTTAAAATTACAACTATTTAAAACTATTATCTCACCTCTCATGCTTTAACTAGATATATCCTCTTCTTTTTCTTCTATTGGAGGTTTGGAATTTGGATCTCTCTATTATTTTTTCTATTTATATATAAATATGTACCAAAAAAATATTTATTTATTACATTAAAAAAAACCTAAATTTAAAGTCAACCTTTACGAAATCTCTTCTTCCATGCGAAGACTGAAATAGTTCTCAAATTTATGCCAACTTGCGATGGAATTAACAGTGGACTCGTCTTGTTTTTGCGAAACTTGTAGATCCAATTCACACATAAAATCTAGACTTTCTATACCGGCCGCCAGCCGATTCATTTGACATGCACCTACATATATATATATTTTTTTCATCAATTAACTTTAGAACGATGCAACCACGAAACTGTGTGCATATTGGTCTAATTTGCTCGTTGAAATGCCATTATATTGCGTGCCCGGTTATAGACACGACATTATATACACACTCTTCCAAACCTAAACCACGAAATTCAAACTCTGGGTTGTCATGTTTATGTCAAGTTGCAATATAAAGTCAAATATTGAGAGTTTTACAATCATAGGAAGTGTTTAACTTGCCATATATGCATTACATACTATAGTAACGTAGAGTCACATACACAAGAAGAAGCTAAGTAAATAGTACATCGTATATGGCGTGGTCATCATCCTCCAACACTACTCCACAAATGCACGAGGTTTTCATTAGCTTTAGAAGTGAGGATACCCACAAGACATTTACAAGCCATCTTAATGGTGCTTTGAAAAGATTGGATATTAGTACCTACATAGACAACAACCTTGAGAGTGGAGATGAAATACCAACTACCCTTGTTAGGGCCATTGAGGAAGCTAAGCTTTCTGTGATTGTTTTCTCTAAAAACTATGCGGCTTCCAAGTGGTGTTTGGATGAACTTGTGAAAATACTTGAGTGTGGAAAGACTAGGAGGCAAGTTATAATGCCTGTTTTCTATGATATAGATCCTTCCGATGTAAGGAACCAAAGGGGAAGCTATGCTGAGGCTTTTGCTAAACATGAGCAAATTTTTCACGAAAATAAAAAGGTGAAAGAATGGAGGAATGGTTTGATTGAAGCAGCCAATTTTTCTGGTTGGGATTGCAACGTCAACAGGTAAGTGTGTTTTAATTTGGTTTATGGAGGAATCGTTTTGGTTATTTAAACATCTTATAAATAACCCTCTTAATATTCCATGTAAAATTTAGATAAAAAAAAAAAAAAAGTTTTCTGGTTTAATGAAATAAAAGTTATTCAACATTTTTTATTTGGCAATAACTATAAAAATTATTATGGGAACTGGTTTGGAAAAACATAGAATTATTATATTCCCTTTATACTAGTTGTTTGAAACAGGAAATATCCATCTCTTGCAATGGTAATGACAGCATATAAGAATTTGAGCGAGTCTAATCTAAAAGTGCGGGAGAAAATAAGTTTAAATTCGAATAATTTCTTTATCTAAAAATCTTATCAATATAGATTCATGGTCCTTTTTATTTATATATCCTTTATTGTTAATTTACTAGTGTAGAATTTTGTTATCTATGATCTAACATAGCATGTGATATGGTACTTTGGAGAGGATCTTCGTGATATTTTTTTTTTCTTTTTTGAGATGTTATGTCATCCAGGAACAAACATTAACAACACTTAATTGTTCTATAGAAGATGTCAACAATTATTACTGAAGATCCTAACATTTTGTTTTGTGCTCATATTGTGACACGTTTGGGTATATGAAATTTGCAGTGTTATCCACAAATCCCCTTCTTTACTGAATTTGAGTGGTTTAACCTCTTCCTCATAAATGACTTCATTTTATTTTTTTGGTTTCAGTATCTCCGATGCTAAGATTAGTTTATGGATAGCTTACTATAAAAATGTGATACGTACGGCTTTAGTGGAAACTTGAGATTTTCTATGTGCATTTTTGTGTACAGGACAGAATTAGAAATTGTTGAAGAAATTGCTATGGATGTGCTCCAAAAGCTGAATCATGCGAACGTCAGTGATCTGAATCACCAGATCAAAAAGTATGAGCAACTTGCACAACTTCAGGAACAATATTTTCAGAGCAAACCCACTTCAGATAATTGGAAAAATCATAATGCAACAGTTGAACGTATCACAGAACTTAAAATGGAGAGAAGTATCCGTTTGCTTCGTTTGACACCTGATATGCTCTCGCATATGGAAAATTCAAGACCTAATAATAATTATTCTTTCTCCTCATTTTGGTAAAAATTATTTGTTGAGATCTGTGAATGTATTGAAGTGATGTAACAATGCAGAATTACAACTGATGCTCTTCAACTTAATAAAAATTGGTTTTTACTGATAAAAAAAGATATTGCATAAGTTCTGAAAGCTTCAACATAACAATACACTATATAGATTATAGACATGATTTCTTTTTCATCAGTATCAGCATATATACGATTAATCAAAGCAATAGTCTATACTGTATAGACTCCTAAGAATTTGATTTACACTAAACATTCCGCAACCTCTATCTAAGAGTCTATGGAGTATAGACTGCTTTAATTAATCGATCTACAACAAAATAATTCCACAAACTCAATTTGATTTACACCATGTCAATTAGGGTTTAATTTGATACTCTGTATGCAAAACATCTCAACACAAATGCCAAATAATGTGTTGACAAATCGTTAAGAGAATGAGTATCAGAAAAATCACCTAAGAGGTCAAACTCTTTCAATATCATTAGTTTAAAGAACCAGATATGGCGTGCTTCATCTTAAATAGCTAAAATTTTATATTGAAAATAGAAAATGAAATAAAGACAGACAAGATACACCTCAAAGTAATAATTTGATTAGGTCTTAAAGTCTCCCAAATGAAGGTAAAAAAAAGCTATCTGATATAGGATGGTCTGCATCAAGGAATATCAGTCAGCCCATAACGTTTAAAACATCAGAAAAAGTGAATATACAATATGTCAGCCATTTCAATTTTACATATCATTCAACTACAATGCTCTATTATGAAAATAAAGCAAAACAAAAGACAAGAGAATGAATAACAAAACTTCGACTGTCTTTGTGTTGATATAGGAAAAGAAGACATTTCACATCAATATGAAGAGTTCAAATCTTTTTTAAGATTTCTAAGGATGCTCCACATGACTGTGGAAACAAAGAAAAGGATGATACCAGTAATGATAGCATACTTCAGACCAAGATTCACTAGCAAATTTACCAGCAGCCCAGCAAATACAACACCAAAGAAATTTGCAGATACAGCAGCCCAAAATGGCATATCAAGAATAGATGCTATAATGGCTCCAGACCATGCTCCAGTTCCAGGAAAAGGAACAGCCACAAACAGCAGTAGACCAAGCCACTGAAACTCCTCAACAGGACCAGCCTTCTCTTTGGCATTCTCAAACAGCATGTCAAGGAACCGTGATGCAGAAGAGCTCCTCGTAGCCAGGAAAGACGCAAATCTTTTCAAGTAGAGTACAATAAATGGCACAGGAACCATATTCCTACATCAATTGCTTAAAGCTGATTCATCCAACCATGCAAAATCTCCAAATGTCACCAAAAACCAAACTAATTAATTCAACAAGCACTAATGAAACACCTTCTAACAAGCCAAACCCATCATGATTTAACTGCCAACATCAAACCCTCTCTCTCTCTCTCTCTATAAGTATAAAGTTAAAATCACATAGTAAAATATACTCTAACATGACTATTTCCTAAGGTATCAATATCACAACAAAGCAAGCACATTAACCATGAGGAATTCCAGAAAGCAAATTAGCAAAGTAATGGCAAACGGGTTGCATGATAACAGTGAATTTCAAGAGTACCTCATATAAGTTAGCCAAAGAAGGATACTTAAAAGAATAAGAAGAAGAAAAGGACTAACCCAAGAATGGATAACACTGTTAAAGTAACAGGGTTAAGTTGCATCCAATAGCCAACAGGAATAGCTCCACGAAGCTCAAGCACTGGAAGAGTAGCAAGTGTGAACACCACAACCCCATCAGGCCACCCCAATTTTCTCAAGGAATTAGCAATCTTTAAGCCAAAGCCAGAGGCTTTAATGGAGTCAACAGAAGCATTAGCATCCTTGGAAACAGCAAACCAAGCAAGGGATAGAGAGGCCCAAAATAGGACCCAGAAAGCGAATTTAACTGGCTTTTCCTCAAAAAGCAACAACCTTTCGGCTTCATCAGCAGCATCAAAACATTCATGAGAAGAAGCTCGAACTTGGGTCAATGCGGAAGGGACAATTGCGTTTGCAAAAAGAGGGGGCTTGAAATGAAGGGAAGCATGAAGGGTGTTTGATTTAAGACATTGTTTGGCATTTAAGAAGAGGGAATGGGCATTGAAAGATGAAATCCTGCAATGGGGTTTTCTGAAACAGAATGGGGGTGTTAGTGCCAAAGCAGATGCAGCCATTATCCCATAAAGTGCGGTAAAATTGAATTTTTGCTGTTTGATAGGATAGTTGAACTAAAACTGAAGAACTTTGGTAGTAAAGTTCATGAATGAGGTGAGTTTAAATACCCACTACCCAGTAGCAAAGGTTTTCAGCTTCATACTCAAAATAAAAGGAGATAACGAGGATAGATCTTAGTTTGGCACAAAACGCAATCATCAAGAAGCATTACGATTATGATACAAATGAAGGGAGGGCATAACAAGGTGCTTTGTGACTGCAGATTTGGATGCTTGTGGAGTTTCCTCAAGGGGTTTTATTATTTATACAAGTCAATTACATTCCCCTCTTTCAATCATGTTTATATTACACTTCCGTTTTTAAAAAATATTATTTTTTAAAAAATTAATATATATTATAATTGATTTTATTTTAATGTACATGAAATTTTTAGAGAAATTCATTCTATCATTTTATTTTTTAATAAAATTTTAATTATAAAAATATATATTTCATGGTGGAAATTTAACGTAACTTCAGGTTGACAAATTGTTGGTCCAACCCAATTCACTGGTTTTAAGGCCCAAAAGAAATGATTGACTGATCTAGATAATAAAAATAACTGGCTCATATTTCCCTGTAATATTTACTCAATATAGTTCTAGAATGTTAACTTTAGATAATAATATTTCATTTAATTGTATTAAAAAATCAATTTATATTAAAAAATTAAAAACATTATTTAAAACATGAATGTTAGTTGACCTACATCTGGAAGGGCTGCCAGTGTCTAAGACCATAGCAGTTAATCACTTAATTGGATCAAAACACTGTAAAAAATGCTTCTAAATTTATATTAGAAATTCATATCTGATAAAAAAAAATAAAAAAAAACTGCCTCCAATACGGACAAAACTTAAATGTACATGTCGTAGTGTTGCCTAAAGAAAAATAAGGAAGCACAGAAAATTACAAAGGCCATCAAACAACAAAATTCCTTTAAATCCATGCAACACAGGGTTATATTAAAGCTTGAGTTGATGAAAAAGAAGCCCAATTAAAGTTCAACATCAGAATCGCCTATAACCCACTGGATGTCATTGATGAACGAATATTGCTGTTATGATCCATTCCATGGAAACTTTAAGCTGCCTCCACAGGACCATGTTGAACTCTGGTTACTAAATACAATGGAGTAGTACAACATATTCTAAATTCTAAATGCTTTCACATAAAGCTCAAACACAGGCTTCGATCGGTATATACATACGCATGCTTTGCAAAACTCTTAGGCTTCTCACAGTAAACCTTGTGCCTCAAAGTCTCTTGCCACTGAAAAACAAGAAAGCACATGTTAAGGTGACTACATAGCATAGATGATAAATTAAAGGAGATGATAGAAACTGGGAGAAAAGTGAATGTGATGTCTAATGTGCAATGCGAGCAGCAAACCAGTATCACCAGATTTTGAAGATTTCTTCTCAAAGTTTAATAATTAACTACTTGATATGTTTCATTGAAGCTAGAGATGCATTGATTATCAGCTAGGGAAAATAGATAGAAGAAAAACTACTAATTGTTAGTTGTTTAAGACATTTGACGAAGAATTGCTTAACTGGTTGGTCCACCACGGCATTAACATTCTTTTAATTACATGGTCCTCCCCACTGTTGATTTTTCTATGAATGATGATTTGTGTACAGCAGTAGACTAAGGTGGTATTGAATTGTAGTTTGGAAATTATGCATGATTTGTCCCAAAAGGAAAGTAACTTGTTTTCACTTCTAATGAAACATCATAATCATATTTAAATACAATTATTCAACCACAATTTTGACAAATATGAATGAAACACAGTTCACACTCTCCAAAACTAATATTTGGGTTGTGCACCGAGCAAGTAAGCCTCCAGAAGAAAGAATTGAGAATTCACCTTTTGACATGGGCAGAACCAAAACAACCTGCATGGTGACATTGTTTGGAGGAAGCTGCAAGCGCAGAGGATAAAGCATTCCATTCAAAGGACTCCGATTGCACACAATGACTCCCTCTAGCCCTGTCTCTTCCTCAAACTTTCGAGTCAGTTCTTCAACTCCATTCCCTTTAAAATTCAAAGAATACCCCTGCATATCTGCATCCAAAACCTCTCCATTGTCCTCAGCAATGTGATAGTATATAGTTCTCCCCTCCACCTTCGGCGACCAACCATTCCGATCATTCGACTGCACTCCAAACCAAACACAATCAAAACTTTTTATGGACAGCTGGACATTTGAAAATACACATCAATATAAATTTACCCCAAAAAGATGTTTAACACGCTAACAAATTTATCCTATCAAATTTTAAGTAACATTTAACTAGTGGTTATAGCTTAACGTATTTTAAAAATATGATTATTCGTTTTCACCTCTTTAAAATTTTTTTCTAAAAATAAGAAGAAATAAGCAATTCCACACATAGGCTAGTAACTTTCACGGTTGCATCTACAACAATACACAAGGACCAAAATTAAGTGTTATAACATAGGTGTGTTTAGCTTCCATAATTCACGCTAAAATTTGAATTATAATTAATAAACAGTATGCGTCTTAATTTTTGTGGATTATATTATATAACTGATCCAAAACGAAAGGAACCCAGGTAAGAAAATGGAAAGTTTTCAAGGAATCTCATATATACCTGTTGGCTTGAAAAGCTAGCAGACACAGTGAGTGGTGAAGGCGCGTTGGTGTGGTCATGAACAGAATCCGGAAGAGGCAAGGGTGGAGCAGAAGGTCTTTGAACAGGGGAATTGACATGAATCTCGACAACATCAACATCCCACAAGATCCAATCCTGCGTAACGGTCCTGTGCGGAATATCATGCGTAACGGAGTTCCTCCAAGGTGGCAAACCCCCATTGGCTCTGAGGAAGTTTCCGTAACGGGTCTTGAGCTTCACGCGCCCACCGTCCTTGATGGGTTCCCACTCAACCGATGAGTCGAGCCTCGGAGGTTGGGTCTGGAGCACCTTGTGACCCGTCATGCCCAGCAAGAATAGGTGGTTCGAAGCGGTTAGGTACTTGCCGTAACAGCTTTTCAGGCGAATTATGTTGTCGTATTCGGGTACGTACTCCACATACCACCGTGCGCTTTTAGAGGACCCGTGTCTGTCTTGGGTAACCGATTCCTCGTCCTCCTCCGCTAGAAGGTACTTTTCATGGTGGCTCCGGAGCCGCACCGCCTTGGCGCGGTAGAAGAAGTCCATGCCCGTCCTGAACTTGTTCGAACTTATTGTCTGCATGTGTGTATAATAATAATAATAATATTATTATAATCAGAAAAAATGTCTAGAGATGGCACTCGTTTCAATTGGTTCTGTGAATGAAGCTTTTGAAGGGGTTTGATTTGGAATTGGAAGTAGGTAAATGGTCAGGGGTATTTATATATAATAATTATTATATAAGTGAAAAGAGTCCCTTATCTTGGTTTGTGGAAATTATTATTATTTAAAGATGTTGGTTTGCTCTGTGAAGACTGCGGGGTGAAAAATGGTCAGCAGTGGCAGCTGGGAAAATACAACACGTTTGGGTGCACGCGGGTATTACGTGGTCATAGAGGCTAATAATCTCATCTATTGGTTTCAATTTGAGTTCCGTGTTGTCTGAGACCAACAAGTCCCAAGGGGTTGATTGGAAGGTTCGTAGAATAAGGCAATAAAGGTGGGATCCTGGGTTTTGATCATTCTTCAGGGGGATACTTCGTAGGACCAAGTTTCTCAACCTAAAATGATAAGATCTACACAATGATTGGTATGGTTTGAGCCCACTTTACAATCAATCACGTATAGGTATTGGATATACTATGAGCATATAATGGAACTCTATAATATGCGGTTTGTCGCTGCCTTGGCGTGTTTGAGAATACCAAAGAAATGAAAAAATCAAAACGCTATCGTTGACAAGAAGGCACCTTATGAAGACCTCAATCCCAGAAAAGATAAATAACAAAAGCATAAAGAAAGAGAGAGCAATACAAAAAAGAAAAGAAACAATACGTGGAACGGAAGCCAACGAGTATGGATAATCGCACTCAAAAGTGTGAAACTAACGTCTTCACTAGATGTCCAAGACAAGCAGACAACGTTATAATTTATTTATTTCATTTCTAGATACTTAAATACTCTCCCTTCTCTGCTCACAATTGATATTCATTTATATTTTAAAAATATATTACGTATTAAAATAAAGTAATATAATAAAACATTTGTTTTTGTTAAAAAAAATTAAATCAATAATTTAATTAATTAATTTAACGTTCTATACAAAGTAATTAAGTAGTGTAACTGATATATATTTTTTGCAGGCCTTATCTGCATAGTATTAAGTAGTATCCTACTATTCTCACTCATAAATGTTTTCATCTACTAATGGTGTTGATGTAGATGTATAACTCCTAACAAAAAAATATGCAGCCTATACACAATATCTTTGAGTAATGTTATATCCGTATAGTATATTTCCAAGTTTCTATAACGCTCAGCAAGTTTTAATTAGATGCACTCAATCATCCTAATGACCTTACTTCGAGTTGACCTTTTGATCTTTTGTTATATCAGAAGTTCAAATGTCTTGAGAAAAGAAAAGGCCCGCAATATAATATAAACTTTTGATAAAAATAAAATTAAAAACCAAAAAACAGGACATTGAAGAAAGCCAGAAACAAACTATTACTCCCACACACACACACACACACACACACCATGCAAATACGATTAAAGTGAATTTAAAAATACAGCTTAATTAATTGTTTATATAAAAACTTACAAATTTGATGATAAAAACTTTTGATATAAGTTACAAAAATTATTTTAATAAACTATATTAAAACACTACAGAACCTTTTTAAAATACAGATTAATGTAAACTGACAAGGCTCTTAATATGTATATCCTTCTGGGTCGCGAAATTTTAGTAGTGTGTTTACTGTTAGGAGTATGAAAGCATTTGTTTGTGTGTGACTGATTAGATTTTCATTGGTGGAGAAGAGTTGGTGAAGGCATTAAGCAACACATAGCGTCTCAATCCAACCAGGTGGCTATCAATTGCTAGTGACTACCATGATCTTAGGCTTTAGGGGTAAGACTAAGAAACACAGCGTGTGAACGCCCAAACTTTTCACTGGACATGAAAAACAAATAGACATCCCTCATTAAACTTAATCAGGCCCACCTATTTTACTATAATTTGGAAATGAATTAAGGTGCATTTGTTCTCAAGTTGTATATATTCATTTTCACAGAGTTAAGTTTAAATTATTAGATATAATTCAAATGTGTTTTATAATTAATTTTAACCATAATTAAAAAAAAAACTTATGTTATACTCAACTAAACACAACTTATGTCACCAAGTATTTATAAATTAAAGCACTAAATTATGCTTAAAGAGACTAACTTGAGATAGTTTATTTTCACATCTTAATTAGAGTCACTAATTTAAAATAGAAAGATTTTTAGTTAAATGAATAGTTTAAATTAGGTGTAAGAATTTTTATACTTACATTGTTATAAGAAAATTATGCTCCTTTAAAATATTTGGTTTAAGATATACTTTGAAATTTTATTTATTTCACATTTTAAATTTTATCATTATAATTATTTTTCAAATGCAAATTCATATAGTTTTATATTTTAGTCAATAAAAAATTAATATCTTTATGTACTTAAATTGTATGGATCAAATTTTTTCTGAAAGAGAAGGCTTGTTTATTGATAAATAAAATTTAAACCAACTAAAATCTGCTTTGCCAAAAATATATTATCTATTAATTAATGATAATAAATAAATAAATAATGTAATAATCAAAACTTAAAACAAAATTTCAAATTTACAATTACCATTTGAACAAAATTAAAATCTATCTTAAATTGATCAATGTATTTTTTCAATGCAACAAAGTTTTCTTCATGCTGACATAAAGTATTATGTATATACGCTTTCACTCAACAATTTCACTTCACTTTATTAAAATCAATTGCTTATCAGAAAAAAGTATTATGCTCGTAAAATGGTTTATAATTTGAATATAAAACAATGTACATGTAATTACGTTTTAGTATAATGGATTACACTGTTTCAACGAAAAACATGATACGACAAATATTTTCAAGATTTAAAAAAAAGATCCACTTCATTTTCAGTATACTTTGCACATCATTCAAATTTTGGAGAGCAGATTGAGCATTGACAAGGGAATCACGACCAAACAGTACCAACCTTTGTTTCATAAAAGCAAAAGTTATGAATAGCTAATTACTTTAAGTAGGTTAACCAAGTTAAGATGTTATATTAAAATTTATATTATCTTTTTTAAAAAATAAGTATAAAATTATTATTATTATCATTCAGAAAACAAACACCAAATTCTATAAATCAGTTGAGCATTTAAATCACACTATTTTATACTTAAAAAAACACTAATTGCATTATTCTCGTACTTTTTTTGACTTATATAATTTACACACAAAAAGAATATATAAAATCTTTTTAATACACTAATAATATTATATACTGTAATTTTTAATAGAAAAAACTACAGATTAAAAAAAATTATTACTAAATTTTAATAAAAATGGTATCAAGAACGTGTTTGAAAGAAGAAAATCAGCTTCTCCGTTGATCAATATTAAATCAACACAGAAAAATTCAACAAAAAGGGGGGGGGGGGGAGTGAAAAATGAATCAACAAAACGCACCTGTATTTGCAGCTTGGAGTTGAGTCTCCCCGGCGGCGACCTGAGCGAGAAAACGGACATAGGCGACGCGGGATCAGAACCGTTGGAGAGATCATCAGAAGCAAAAGACGAAACGACACTGATCCCAGAGAACTCATGATCATCCTCATCCTCAACAGCTTCCACATCCCAGAGAACCCAATTTTGCGTCGCCGAACTATGAGGATCATCGTGCGTCACCGAGTTCCTCCACGGTGGCGTTCCTCCGTTCCCCCTCAAGTACTTCCCACTCCAACTCCTCAACTTCACCTGAAACCCGTCGCGTATCACTTCCCACTCGTACCTCCAATACGACGCCGCTTCGTACTCCGTTTGTACCACCGTTTTCCCCGTCATCCCCAACAGAAACGGCGTTTCCGCCGCCGTTAAGTACTTCCCGTGGCAGCTCTTGAGCCTCACCTTGTTCGCTCCCTCTACAGTCTCCACCGTCCACTTCGCTCTTCTGCCGGAACCCTTTCTGCTTTGCCGGACCTTCCCGGCATCGTCGTCGGCGACGAGGAACTTGTCGAGGTGGCTATGCAGCTTGACGACCATCGTTTTGGTGAAAAACTCCATCACGGGGTTTGATTGGTGCTGATGCTCAAAGCCACGACGATAATAAATAGATGTATTACTGACAGTGGTATATACAATTATACAAAGGATTGGGGTTGAATCTACGTGGAAATTATGGTGCACTTTCCCAGATTTTAACTCCTAAAAATATTATTTTGGATTAAAATGTTGGGTTTTTATACAAGAATTAAAACTTTAACTTAACTTTTATTTTTCAAAATAATTATGAATATTGAGAATGTTATTTTATGAATAGCTTATGTTTTAAAGGATGACAGAATTGATTTTATATTCATTAAATAAAAATAAAACTATTTTTCAAAGAAGGAAATTAATTTTATTTATGACAAGTTTTGACTTGATTAGTTGTAACTTGTAAGATACGGTTTTTGACTTGATTTTTCACGAAAAGGTGTAATCGTTTTACATCTGACACTCTTTTAATTAAACCTTCAAAATTTATGTATTTACTTGTCAAACTTTTATCTTATCATAGAAGAGTCAATATAACAGATTCAGGGTCCTAGAATTTCTCTCTTTTAACTCGTTCCTTTCTTTTTGTCCTCTACCTTGGTTCTTTTTCATTCTATCTACCTTCTTATTTTTGCCTTTCCCCATTTACACGTGGGTATATTTTAGATGAAGCTATTAGATTTTAAGCAATTTTTGCATTATTTGTCTTACCATAATAATAGTACTTGCACAAGTTTTCTGGTCATTTTACTAACATATTTTACTAGTTAAAAAAGTTAGTAATGATATTGAATATGCTTTTTCGTCACCATGAAAAGGCTAATGAAAAGGTTAACTCGTTCGGCCATAACTTGTAAGCAAGTGGTAATTAAGTGAATTTCTTAATTTAGTGGATATGATTTGAGATTACGACAGCAAAAAAGATTGGAACGAAACCCTTCTAGGCTTCTAACGCGTGGTTGATGAGAAGAGTATTAGAGTCTATAATCGAATAAATAAGTTTGACGAATACCACTTGAAGGTTCCATGAATAAGCTTTTTATTAATATTAATGCTTTTGCGTGTTGAATATGAAAGTGGGAAACCAAAAATTGTCAGTGAAGGAAATGGAAGAATTGGAATGAAGCCATTTAAGGTGCGCCACCATGGCCGAAATAACTTTCATATTTATTTGCATTAGGGATTTGAATAAAAAAATTAAAAACATAAACTTCTATATAATTTATATTAAAAAAAACATATTTTAGTTTAATACAGTGCATTGATACTATAAAATTTAAATTTAAATAATAGTATTTAGGAGAAGTGAAAATTTATTATTTTAAATATATTTTTTGTCAATATACTTAATAGTAATTTGTGGTGTACTTTTTCTAAGCAGAATTTATATTCCTAATTGGGTTGGTCCAGTGAAGTCCCTCAGAAGCCCAACCCAGACAGTGAAACTGTAATAGTTAGAGAAAGAAACACTTAATACAGTGAGCCCAAACCCATTTTGCTGATCATTTTATAAGTATTTATAATCCCCAAAAAAAATGGCTTTATGTTTTTTTATATGTAATTGATCTAAGTATTTATTTAATATATTATATTATAAATTTGGGAGTTTTGTTAATCTTAGTATTTAGTATTGAGTTTAAACATTTATAAGCTCAAAAATTTATTAAAAAATACACATATTAAGTATATTAAAGTTATAAAAGTAATTAGCAAAAAAATTATAAATGAAGTGTAAATTTAAAATATTTATTTCATAATTTAAAATTATGTAAATTAAAAAAAAAACATTTTAGAGGCTTTTTTAAAAAATTATTTAAACTCGACCTATGTGATTAGTTGAACAAATGAAGTGTATAAAATATTCATATCTTAAGAAGTATTTTCATATTAAATATGAGAAGAAAATACGTTTAAAATTTATACAAAAAATGAAGTTTAACTTATTCTCTAATGTTTAGAGTCATTTTTATTTAATGTATCTTTAGATTAATTCACTCTTAGTCTTAGACGTTTTGTTTTTAAATAAGTCAGTTATTTACTTTCTTATTTACTCTTTAAATTAGTTTGTTTTTCTGTTCTTGAATTAAATTGAATTATTTTCCTGTCCACCTTGATGCTCTTTAAATCTACAAAAGACAATGTCATTTTTAAACAGGTGGGAAAGCTAAAAAAATACACAAATTATTAAATTTATAAACTAAACACTTAATTCATTGTGAAATATTGTTCCATTCATCCTGTAAACATCTGGTCTAAAACACTTGGAAATGACCTTTAGAATAATTTTACATCTTATATTTGATGTTTACATTTTTAAATTATCAAATATAAATTTGTTAAAAAAAATTATAATTTCAAGAAAACAAATATTTAATTTCTATTTAATATGTATTTTTATAACATCGTAATTTTTAATTAAATATATATGAAAAAATATAACAAAAGCATTGGTCATTGTTGTATTATTGCAAGATTTGAAATTTTACAATTTTCCTTCCAATTATGTGCTTCATAATTTTAATAGTAAGCCGACCATCATTAAAGTGGATGGCCCCTAACCACGGAGCAGGTCGCCTACTAAATGATTTTGCCTCAATAATTGCACCCAAATCAATGTTAAAAAATACCTCATTACTGTTTCAAGGATATTAACAAATTAAAATTTATTTTAAAATGTTTTAAAGATTGGGAAGGTAACTGTATTATTTATATATAAATATATATATATATATATATATATTATAAGTCTAACAATTTATATTTGATTTAAACTTTTTATTTAATCTATATCTAATAGTAAGTGAAGTAATAAAATATAACATATTAAATTTAAGTTAAATAAAAAATTTAAATCGAATGTAAAAGTTTTAGATTTATAGTAGTGTGAAAAGATCTTATCTTTTATATATATATATATATATATATATATATATTCTAAAAAATTTATTAACATTTTTCAAGCCTAATATAAAATATTTACTTGAAATTAGATATTTAACATTAGAAGTGTTTATAGGGAATTTAATTTTAATATGGTGTTTTTGTGACATAATAGCCAGAATATGGACTTTTCTCAATAATTACGAAAGTGTGATATTTGCAAAATCGCCAACGACGATTTTTACTATATCTTTTCAAGCTACAATTTTGATTATATCTTCCTAAGCTACGTTATGAAAATGTGGTACAAGCATTCGGTGAGCACGCAGACCGAAGCAATGTAATTGTGCAATGAACAGTGGGTACAGGTGTTGTAGGAAGCCAGTAAAATCGTGGGTAGTGAGTTTTACTAGCTTTCTCTTCCTAGAGCTTTGTTGCTCTATCCTGAACTGGCTTTCTCTTCCTGGAGCTCTGTTGCTCTATCCTGCAACTGAAAAATTGTGAGTGGTGATTTTTACCAACACAATAATATATTGTCCTGCAACTGAAAAATTGTGGATAACGATTTTTATCAGCACAATAATGTATTGAAATGTCGTTTTGTGTGGATAGAATTGGAACTATGCCTATAAATAGAAATTGAACCATGTTGTATGCACGGATGAGAAGGAAATACGAAAAAGAAAATGAGGAAGGAGCTTACAGAAGAACAATATCAAAGAGGAGGAAAAAATAGAAAAAGTTAGAAAAAATTTATAAAGAGTTACAAAAAAATTAGAAATTTATTAAAATGGTTCAAGATGTGACTATGGAATTGCACAAACATATTTCACAACGAATTCGTACTCAAAATGTAAGTAAATATTTATTTTTTAACATGCAATGTAGTATAATAAATTTTTTTCTTAATTTTATTTGAGTTATTTATTTTAAGTTTGTATAAAAAAAAGATAATTATTTTAGTCTAAGTAAACATAATAAAATTTATAAAATTTTAGTATTGGATAATTTTTATTATATTATTTACTTTTAATAAGAATTATTATCATTGAAAAATATATAATAAATTATTCATACTAAGTGTTAATATTAGCCATTGTATAGTATAATAATAATAATAATAATAATAATAATATTAGATGTAAAAATAAGTAAAACACAATTTATATTAAAATAATAATAATATTATGTGCGGATATAATTAAGTAAAAACATATCATTTTTTTATAATTAGTTTTTTATATTTTGATATACATTTAATTTATAGATTATTGATAAATTACTATTTTTAACTTCAGGTAATAAGAGTATTACGACCACGTCACTTATCTATAATGCCACCTAGGCCTGAAATAAATGAGATCTTACAAAATGCTAATTTTGATCGTATTGCACAATTATATTAAATGCATATAAACGATGACTTTATAAATGTACTTGTTGAACGTTCGAGACAAGAAACACATATATTTCATCTTCCTTGTGGAAAATGCACAATAACATTAGAAGAAGTTGCTATGTTGCTTGGACTGCGATGCAATGGTATAGCAATTACTGATTCTACTAATCCAAATACTTTGGTACTGCAAAATATGTGTAAACAGCTACTAGGAAGTCAGTCCGAATCAAATGATATTGAAGGCTTTGAAATAAGATTAAAGTGGATCACACAACACCTTGGTTGGCTTCTTGCTAATTCAGACATTAGGATAGCATAACATACTCATAGATATGTACTTTCTTTGTTGGGACATATTAATGTCAAACAAGAGCAACTCCCTAGTACATGAAAATTTCTTACAATTGTTGGTAAATGTTCATGAAATTTGAATGTACAGTTGGGGTTCAACATGTCTTGCTATTCTGTATAGAGGTTTGGATCGTGATTCACAACATGATGCCAAAGAAACTTGTGGATGCATAATATTATTACAGGTATGAGCATGGCACAGGCTCCTGTGGTTGGCTCTAATACCTAGTGAACCAGTAATATTTCCACTTATACTCAGATGGAGACGTCTTCAATATCCAACCAAGACTCCCATATAGAGATCTTGGAAATGTTAGACTAGCATTAGATAAAATGGCACTACATGAGGTACTTATTAACATATTTATACATTTTTTTAACTATTTTTATACATGTTTGAAATTATTTATGAATAATTATTTTTGAAAATGCAATTCATGTGACGACCATATGAGGATGAAGCGATTGATGCCGTTGTTCCATATGATCTGAGAGGAGAATGTTTATTGTGGTCAACTGTAAGCTCGTTGATATGGTTTGAAGTTGTA